ATATATATATATATCTTACTATTCCATAGCTTAATGTATAAAACTACGTTTCACATTAAGCAATAAAATGAATTTTGTATCAACAAATGATTTTAAATATGGTTTCAATGATTTAAATGAGGATTTTTTTCAAAAAATGTGGGATTAAAATTAAATTCTTTTATTTTATTTTAAATTAAAGTGAAAATTTTGTCACAGAAATAGCTACTGCTGTGTAACCAAAGATGGCGTTTTCGGTTTAGATGCCAGTGACGTTTACATATAAATATGTCAACGCAATCCCCGGTTAGTTTGGTATGAAATTAGAAGGAAAAATACAATTTTATACCGAGTGTCAACTAGTTAGACTTAAATTAAGTCTCAAAACAGTATTTCTAATTCTAATCAATCAAGCTAACAAATTTGTTTTTCTCTTTTTTCATGATTTTCCATGCATTTTGCTTTTACGGTCCAATACTGTTTATAGATTTGTTTTTTTCCCTGCATGCTGTCTGCTGGAATACCAAAATAGCAATTCAAATATAACAAATGTATACATACCGATTAACCAATGTGGCATTTATGTATTTAAGTGCGGCATCGAGACCCAAAATTTCATTATGTTCGTCGATGGATTTGCCGCCAACAGCCATCCGTGTTTCGAGCACTGATCTCGTTTGTGCTAGTGTCATGGTGTTTCCTTCTATACCGACCGAATGATAAATGTGTTGAAAATATGCTTCTTTTTTAACGCGTCGCAATGCAGCATTCGACTCATGTATGCTTGATAATGCATCACGTTTTGCATCCAATTTATTAAGACGTTCTTGATCCAATGCCTCAACAATAGTAGCCGTACGCATTCGATTTGCCAGTGCTTCGCTGTGGCTTGGATTGGCAGTGAGTGCCTATAAAAACAATCGATTACTACAAGATTAAAAAATTAATAAATAACAAAAGCAACAAACCTGAAAATACATCATATCTGCCGAGATAACGTCAGAATGACTATGCTCAAGATATTCACCATATTTATTTAGCACTTCGGGATGTTTTGGAGCCAAAGCAAGTGCATGTTGAAATAATCGTAAGGCTTTATCAATTTTTCCTTGGTACTTAAGGTCTAGCGCAACTTTTAACGTACTAAGAGCTTCATTTTCATCTGAAAGAGTGAAACGAAAATCTATCAATCATTTGTTGCACATAATATAATTACCAAAATGAGAAAATACCTTCAACTGAATTTCGTTTTTTGCCTATTTTCTCGTGTGGATCGGATGCAGCATTTTTAAGATGATCAGAACTAACCGAATACAATGAATAATCGTCACGCACTTGGAGATAGTGCACATCCGATAAGTAATTTGGTAGTTTTCGTGTGGTTGGCGAAAAATGTGTTAAAATTAACATAATTGTAACAGAACTTATAACCCCCATCACAAAGATAATCGAATAAAAGTAAATTTGTTGCATATTGGATTCGATGATAGATTGTAGACAACGAATAAGAATAAATCAATTCACGAATGTGTATGGAAGAACAAAAGAATGGACACAAAATAAAAGAATAAATTGAAGAACGAGGTAGATTCTGTGGTTTAAACGAAAAATTTCGGTGTCTAGTTCCACAAATGCAATCACGTTGAAATTAGATATAAGGCCAGAACTAGGAGTATACTATGATACAATTATAGCTGCCGTTTTGCAATACTTCTAACAATTTTAAATGATAAATCTCGTCGAATTTAAACATTTTCAATCACAATTGTTGTCAACCGAACCAATATTATTTTGTTACTATTATTTTGCAGCGTCAGCTCTTCTGACTATATACCACATGTACGTTTGCAAACAGTATTGTTTGTATGTGATAAATGTCATAAAATCAATAAAAAAAATTCTAGTGATTACGGTATATTGTGATCGACTAAACACTTTTTTTTATTTATTACTCATTTTATTTGACAGTTCTGACTGACGTCGTTCTTTTTTGTTTTGATTTCAGTTTTTTTGGGGTGCGTTCCTCCAACATACTAACATTCAATTAAAATTGTTCTGCTTATGGACGTTTTTCACTATAACAGTTTTGACTTTATAAAAAAAATTAAAAAAAATTAAATGATTTTCTGTGAATAAAATGTTGTGGTTAATTTCATTTAAACTCGTTTAAATCTAACATCGCTTCCGCGTTGGCCTTGCAAAGTGACAGTCTGATAGCTTGACAGTAGTGTGAATGTCGTAAAAATAAACGTTTACTCCGTATAGTTCAGTAATCAAATGGTATAGCGCATATTTGAAGCATCCATTGCATCCATTTTAACAGAAATTATTTATATTTATTTTGTGGTATTGTGAATTTTAATTTTTTTAAAACGAAACAAAAATGGGTGGCGGAGATTTGGTAAGTGATAATATTGAAATAATATGTGCAAGAAATGAAAAATAGCTAAATACGTAATAAATTTTGTGCTTTTTTATGTGGTTATGTTATAAAACTAACAACAAATATCCGATTTTTCTCTCGACAGAATTTAAAGAAATCATGGCATCCAAATACATTGAAAAATCAAAAGCGTGTATATGAAGCAGAGCAAGCCAATGCGGCCGAAAAGCGTAAATTGCAGGAACTACAGCGTGAGATACAACATGAACGAAATTTCGAAGAGTTGAAAAAAATTGGCCAAAGTTCAGGTGTTCTGGCTGCTGACGACAGCAAACGGCTCGAATGGATGTATAAAGGTTCCGAAAGTACATTGAATCGTGAAGATTATTTAACGGGTCGTGCGATTGACAAACACTTTGAACAACAAGATAAAAATGAACGACAAAAAGAAGCCGCCAAATTGGTCGGTGTTACTGAGCCCATAAATCATGTCGAACATGAATGCATACCATTCTCTATACGTGCATTTCGGGGTGCACCCGCGGTAAAAAAAAATTAAATTTTAATTTTATTTAAAATCCAAAGCGGCTCTTTTACACATGTTTTATTTTTCACCGTTTACAGAGCGAAGACCAAGTTGATTTGCAGCGTAAAATTATGGAAGATCCATTGATGATGATACAACAACGTGAAATGGAAACACGTCAAAAATTATTGCAAAATCCAGTGAAATTGAAAGAAATCCATCGACTTTTGCAGGCTGATAAAAAATTAAAAGAATCATCGTCGCATAAAAAGAAGAAAAAATCGAAAAAATCACACAAGAAAGGCTCACATTCGGATTCAAATGATAGCGATGATTTAGACTCACAATTGGCCAAAAAATATAAACAATTATTGGGTGAGAAGGGTGAACAATCGGATGTGTTGAACATTGATAAATTGTTGCATGAAAAATATGAAAAATTATCGTCGGAATTGGATAAAATAAAAAAATCAAAAAAGAAGGAGAAAAAGAGTAAATCGAAAAAGGAAAAAAGAGGCAAGAGTAGCAGCAGTGACAGTTCTGATTCAAGTGCTGAAAAATCGAGAAAAAATAAACCAAAAGATTATAAACGACATGAGTCACCGATGAGACATCGTTTCGATAGAAACGATGACAAATATGCCAGAGATCGTTCAGGTCGTTCGCCACAGCGAAATCGATTCAATCAATCAAGAAGATCTAGATCACCGAGAAGAAATGATTGGCAACGTAATGAAAATAATTCGCGTTTTAAAAATGGTAGAAACGATCGATTTGACAATTCACGACGTCACCCAAATTCACGTCGACGTTCAATTTCTCGACAAAGATCTCGTTCACCACGTCAAAATCAACAGGTCGAACGAAGACCCAATTATCGTGGTGGTCGCAATTCATCCATTTCACCAGCTCAAAATGCGTCGTCTCGAAATAAACGGAACTCATCGTTTGATCGACACCGAAACCAAAGGAATGACAACCACAAAAATGAGCGTCGTCGCAACAGCAAATCAAGGTCATTGTCACCAAAACGAAAAACGAGACGGTTATCACGATCCCGTTCCAGAACTCGTTCAAATGAACGACAAGCAAGAAAATCACGAACCCAACATAGAAATGAATCAAAATCACCTGAAAAACCAAAATCTTCACTAGAAAACGATAAGAATCATACGGAACGGGCGGTGCGAACAGTTGCATTGCCACCAAAAAAACCTGCATCCAGATCGGCAAGTAGCAGCAGCAGCAGCAGTAGCAGTGGTTCGGATTCAGATGATAGCCGGGAAAAGAGAGCACCACTCAATTATGGCCTGGTTACAGCCGGCGGTGAAAAAATTGAATTAAAAAATGACAAAAAATACGTGCCAACTGTTGTAGAAAAAAAGACCACATCGACGTTTATTCCGCCGTCGCAACCAAAAAAGAAATTAACCGAAGAGGAAAAAGAGGCACGTTTACGTGAAATGCAACAGAATGTCAAATGGCATGATAAAGAGCAAATTTTAAGCCGACAGCGTCATGAAGAACGCCAAAAACGTGAAACCGAACAAGAGAAAAACATGGAATTTGATCGCAATTACATTCACAAAGAGATGCACAAGGCGCTGACAAATCAAAATAGCGTTGAGGCTCGATTGAAATCAAACAAAAATAATATTCAACGAATGTCTAGTTCGATGCATTCACATTTTGCACGAAAATAAATAAAATGAAATCATCTTAAGATGACAGAAAATGAGGAAAAAATTATATTATAGTAAAAGATATTCACTTATTCCATGTAACTTATAATCTGATTACATTTGAGGAAAAAAATCCATATCCAATAACCAAGCATAATAAAAGTTTCCTAATAATATTTTTTCCTTAAGATGGCGCTGAATTTCATTATTTCGCGTACAATTTATTCGTCAAGGTATTCGCTAAGCAAAGACTGAAAATACAACAAAAAAATCACAACTCTACATCTGTTTCGCTCTGAATTCTTGTCGTTGTTTTGACAAGTAAATAAAATGTTTTGCTATCTCTTGCCAAAGTTTTGACGTTTGTTCATCACTGTTCCAGCACATAATATACAGACTATTCCATTCATGCTTTGAATAAACACGAATGCAGTTTTCTCTTTCTGTCGGTAAATAGTTTATCAGAGGTTACGTTTTGTGTGCAAAGACGCGTCGCGGCGGCAGACATAATTATTGTATAAAAATATTTATTTTAGTTTTTTGTTTGTAGTTTTGTTTTGTGCATGCCAATAATTTAGTTATCGTTTGTGGGCGAGGTGTTTTTTTTTTTGTAATTGAAACCAAAAGCTGAATTTTAAAAACAGCACGAATGTGTAAACACCAATATCATTTGTGATATATTTCCATAGATTGAAGAGGCTAAAAAAAGGCTCATTTCAGTCCGAGGTGATTGAATTTTGCCGTAAGTGTTTTGGTTATTGTTGTTTTTGTTTGTGTAGTTTTGTAGTATAAACGTGTATAATTTTCCAATAAGAAATACTTTTTTTTATTTGCCGCAAAAATTTTGTAATTTTAATGGAAAAAAGCTTGCAAGCATGGTTTTAATATCGTTTTCATTTTTTATTCGATAAAATGTTCATTCGTGATTTCTATCCAATCGATCCCGGTACCATCGATCTTCGCGATCGGTTTATGCAACAAGTGTACAAAATATACACACCAATTATCCAATGCAGTTTTTTGAGTGTATTATATTCTGATAGCAATTTATCAAAGACATGAAAATTTAACGAAAAATCAGATAAATTTTCAATAGATGGCGCTTCATGACACTTTTTGAGTAATTTTAAATTTTTAAGTCGTCAACGTGATCGAAACATTATTTTACTGTGCTGGCGATGGAATGTCGTACATTCATTTTCCTGGAACCATTTATTTCAACAAAATAACTTTGAATACTCAAGTTTAATACGACATTAAACAGTGGGAGAAGTAATATCAATTTTTCATCAAAAATACCTATCAAAACCGTTTTATTATTTTGATGCTATTGCGGTTAATAATGCTATTATTACTTTTTTCCACCAAATTATGATCGTTGGAACAAAGCACATAAGCAAGAACTAAAGGAGTATGTGAAACTTCAAACTTTATCGACTCCTTTCATATTTTGCTTGAACATTCGTATAAATTTTAATAGTTCATTACAAATAGGCGTATGCATCTTCTATCATTAGTCCGCCCAATATCAAATGTGTCAAAGGGACATAATTTACTACCAAAAATATTCTGAACCATCAAAATGCTCGCTCCGCTTGGATATACCGATATATGTATGTATTGTAATTCTCTTACAATACAGGTTTTTTTTGTTGAATATATTTGTTATTTCACAAATCGTTAATAAAATCCATCGTATTTCTGTGACAATGCGTGAATTCATTGGAGATCGACATTTGCCAGACATTATATTGAGATATTTTCAGCCAGATAAATCAGCTCAGACAACTGAAGTCAGGCGCCGAAATATAGCCACAACAAAAGAAGTAGTTATAAAAACACTTCCTCCATTGTTTTCACTCCATGCCAGCTCCTGACGATAGCAGCCTGAGCAGATTCATCTGTCTGAAAATATTTCAATATAATGTCTGACATTTTCAAAAACTATTATTTTCGTAAAAGAAGAGCAATGCGTTTAAAATGTCGTTTGTTGTTTGTGAAAATGTTGAAATGTTATACAATAAAAAATTGACAAACACATAAAAAATCAATTGAATTAACTTACAATCACAGCGGTAATAACAACACGATATGAATGGCGAAATGACCAAGTAGTAATTACTTTTCAATCAGAAATACATGCCCACAATGTAACAATGAACCCAATATGAATGACACAGAGAAATGAATTCATTAAATTTTCACAACTTTACCATACTATCATTTTAGGATGATTATCCAAAAAGAAAGAAAAAAGAAATACGGTGACACATGTGATTTAAAGCTTTGATTTATTTCTTGTATGCACGTTGTACAGCTTGATTATCGATGCAATATAGCGCAGAGTCCTACTGTTTACTAACTTCAAATAAATCAATGAAATGGAAATGTCGTTTGTTAACCAAAATGATCTACCATTGAGTTGTCAATCGGTACATTACATATTATGTTGAAGAAGCGACCATTTCTTGTTTAAAAAAATATTTGCATGCATAAACTGAAGTGGTCGATTTGATTTAGATTGAAGCTTCATCATTTACATACCAATTCTCATTGTTCTTCAGACAAGTAGCTTGATACAGTTGGGCATTTTTAGTAAGTTAACTTTGTTAGTTATTACTTTTCTATACTCATATAAGTTTTGTTTTTAGAATTTAATTATTCGAAAAATTCAATTTCACTTTCCTTGTCATTTTTCTTTTTGAAAATCGTTAAAATGACCACGGACGAAATATGTCAAATAAACAAATTTTGAAGAATTTTTTAAAAATTAAATCCGTTCGAAATCACTAAATGAATGGATGGACGAAAAATGTCAGTTTTGGACCAGAATATTTTTTTTCAAGCCGCCAATATCGAGAATTTGAACCCGAAGGTAACCCTTCAAAAAAAGTGGCACCGAGAAAAATATATATTACTCTTTTACTTCTCTTGAACTGAGGAATCCGTGGTAGCGATAATTACGGAATCTCTGTACATAGTAGAGATGCTTTGATTTTTAGCGACCAATAACACGTCCAGAATTCTAGGAATTTCGATAATCTCAAAGTTATTGGTAAATAATTTTCATTAAATTGTCTCAGCTGTACAATAGAATGATGAGACCTACGTTTTATGATTTTATTCCTGAATAGCAGAACTGCAAACCTTGTACGATATTTATGAACTCGAAATAGCTGACCGGCAAAATTGGCAATGTCTTCATTTTTTACTGCATGTTGAGCATACTCTTGTTCTTTTATTCATATTACGAATTAATCGAGATTAATCAATGCATCATGAATAATTGTGAACATGCACAGGTCAAAAAAAAAGACTGAAAACCATAAGTTCAAATCATCACGATTGCAACACGTTGATCCATTTTCAATTTATTCACCTCTTTGATAAAAGCAACGAAAAAAAAATTCAAATTTATTTCGCGTAGTTCAAGTCTTTCAGCGAACCCAATTAAAACAGTTGAAAATCATAATTATTATTTATGACGCATGTAATAAGAAAAGACAGTCTTCTAAAGGTAAATGTAGTTTGAATGCAGACAACCGGTAGCATACAAAATGAATCGTGAAGGTTTATTCTTTTGTTATAACTGTTCCCACTATTTCTCCATTAGCATTTGTTTAATAGGTAGTCCATCTATGAACTACTTATGTGCAAATCGATGCATGTGCCAAACCCATTGTCTGCACGCAAGATCTTTTTCATCATAATATTTAACCCGAATACATATGTGGCTATAATCGAGTGCCCTTCATTGATTAATAGTTCCAAAGGTTACTAGTCAAATAAAAAAAAGAGTCCAAAGAAGAAGAAAGAAAACAAGAAACAGAACGGAGCACAAAATGATCCGAGTCAAAAATTATAGTTTCATACATAACAAGAGGTTAAGTTCTTGGCATTTTTTTTCATCCACTCTCTCTTCCTCTATCTATCCCACTGAATTTTATCTATTGTATATGCAAAACGCATTCGATGGCGTTAGGCCAAAAAAAACTAGCGAACAGAAATCGATTAAATCTGAAATATAAAGACATTGAATTCAAAACAATCCCATAGTACATTATCATAATTGAAAATTATTTTATTTGAATTGTGCACGGTTGGTTGCAATTTCTTGATTATCGATGGCCCCGATGATGGATTTTCAAAAAAAAGGATGGAATATTGATAAAAAAAATGTATAAGCATTATATTGTTTTGTATGAGATGAATAAACGAAAAAAAGCATAACGTTAAAAAAATGCTCGCTTTCATTCAATAGCATTAAATATGGTAGAAAAAAGGAAGCAATGAGGACGACAATCTGTCGCTACTTTGTTTCTCTTTTTTGCATATTATTTGCGGTCGATTAACAGCGAATCTACAACAATAACAGAGCAGACTGTAAAAAATAAATAAAAAACACATAGAGAGAGAGAGAATGCATGCATAAGACTACCATAGACTCCCCAAACATTGTAAATATTCAATAGTTATATGTCCGATGTCGCGAGTCCAATCCATCAGACTTAAACACTGAAAAATGTGTTTATGTATGTGTGTTTGTCCGCGATTCGTGTGCTTTCAGATTTAGAAAATCGCAACCGTTTTCAGATATCTGGCTAGTGTATTGTATGTCTTGTGCTACTCTTCCTATCGTATAAACGTTTAATTTCTTTTTTCCGCGTTTTTTACATTTCTTTGGGTGTATATGCATATGCGCGAACAAGAGAGAGAGAGAGAGAGAGAGAAAGAGTATAACATTTTTTTCGTTCGTTGAATTGTGCAATATTCCATCAATTTTAACTCGTTCAACCGAACTTGTTATTAGCTCAGGAATGATTGTACTGAGATGAGCCGTAGAAAAACAGAATCCAAACATTACATCCATTTCAATTCTACTCACGTAAATCATGTACACCACAATTTCAAATGAACGCAAATAAGAGCATGGTACACACACACACACAAGAGACGAGGTGAACGGAGCCAACAACTGCAACCACTACCGCTTTTACCGCTATTGCTGCTGCTGACAACAATATACTGAATTTCGTAGATTGTTACCGTAAATCAGCTGAAGAGCAACGAAACAAAACGAAAACTGAACGCAAAAAAAAAATTCAACTCGAAAACAACAAACATCAAATGAATTCAAATATGTACAGAAAAAAAGAATCCAATAACAAATCTACATCATCGAAAGCCAGCCAAACAATATGCACATTCTCATAATCGGCAACGGGTGGAAAAATACACAACGAATCTATTTTGACTACTGGTTATACATTACATACCTTCATTACTATTATCATCAGTTGTAATTATTATTGAAATGAAAATAGAACGAATGCAAATCGCGCGAAAAAATTAAAAAGAGAAAAAAAAACAACATTGGCGACAAAATGTTGAAGGAAACATTGGCATGAAATGCCATCCAGTCGAATTCTGAAATTAACGAAGCATTTTCCCGCCATTGTTTCATTATTTCAACTTTCATCCCACCTCACCAATCTGTTTTTTTTTTCTCTTCTTATTCTTATGCCCGTGCAAATTGGCCCGACGAAAATGAAAGAGAAAAAAAAAACGATTTAGAGAATTGAACTATCGTGCATCGTCAACCACAAATCTATTGTGCAAGAAATTTGTGCCGTTTTGGATAGTTAAAAAAATTAAATAAAATAGTGTACGTATACTTCCTCTCATACTTTAGAAATCCCATGATTTTCGTTTCGGTAACGAACCACCATAAAGCACAAGAAA